TGATAAGTTATGCTGATGGCCGGCAGCCGCAGCCACAATCCACACCGAATGCTGGGGCAAAGAAAGCTCGGAAGCACCGAGCATGAAGGAGAAGAAAGGGGGAAGGGTGGAAAAGGGAGGGCAAGAGAGGGAGGAGGATTAGGTGGAGACTATTATGAGGCTGCGTGTTGCGGACATGCATTCGACTCGCAGCGGCAAGCGATTAGGGTTCGCAGGGCATGCGAGCTCGAGTGCGCGTTCGAACGGCGGCTCGTCCCTCTGGCACGGATGGAGCGGTGCTGGCCAAGTCTGCCCCAGTGCCTCTTTTTCCGGTCGGCTGGCGAGTCGCGCATCCCGCCAGCCGAGCTCGACGGGTGCATGGAACTTTTTCGGGCTGGTCGATGGACTGAACTCTGAGGGAGGCCCTCGCCGCACCATCTGTGTCCCCGAGCGCGCGGCAAGCCACCGACGACGACCCGGGTCTTGCCGAGATTGGACGCGATGCCGTACACCGGTCTGTGCGCACCATGGCGTCGAGGGCATTTAGCCGGGACGGCACCCTGAACACGTATATTGGTCATCTAGAACAGGGACGAAGCTGTCGTCAACACAGTTGCCCATGCACTGCTTGGCTAGGCTGCAGAAAACGAGGCGGCGAAAGGCATCGTTTGTGATAAAATCCCGCGCTCCGCTATAGGGTTTGCGCAAAGCCGTCAAGTGGGCCATGCCACGTGCTTGCCAGGGCGGACTTTTGCGCACGCTCGGCTCCGTTTGCGTTCAGAGACTGAGAAACTTCCTGGGGCTTCGCCCTTGCAAGCGTTGTTGCGCGGCACGAGCAGGAACAACTTCCAGGCACCACTCGAGCTGCGCCGACCTGGCTGCGTTTCGCGCGCTGCTGCTGTCCCAGGCTGGGCCTTTCGCCGCCCATGTTTTCGTCGTCCCGCCCACAGGGGACGACGTTTCCATATTCCCCAATGCGTTCTTTTGCGCTCTTCTGCTTGCGCCGCTTGCGGCTGTTGGGGGCATGCAGCTCGACCTGCTCGTGGATGTCGATGTGCCAATTGCCGCTGCGCGGCGCATCGAGATTGTCGCGAACGGCTTCCCCCTCTGGCACGGGTCCGAACTCGCTCTCAATGCCACTATCGTGTCGCCTTGACAGGGCTTAACGATGCCCACCCCCGTGCCGCAGCTCGCCGTCGGCGGCGAGGTTGGCGGCCGTGTTGGCACGGAGACAGTGCAGCTCCTGCGCCGGCTTGTGCGACACCCGTCATTTTTCAGGCTCACTCTGCTGATCGCCGTGTCGCTGGTCTTGCTGGGTTTCGCAATCACGTAGCCCAGACCGATGTCTCGCGCATGGCAAGCAGAATGCTTGGTCTGTTCCCTCGAATGCTCGGTCTGTTCCCTGTGCTCTGCGCCTCCCCTGCGAGTTTCGCGGTGCGACGAGG